AATTATCATTTTTTAGATTTTGTAATAGATACAATACTTTCTAAAGTTTAGGAATGTGTATTTTTTATAAAAAATTCACAGTTTTTTTATTTTTATATGAATTTTGCTTTTTATATGTGAAAAAATACTAACTTTATATTTCTAACTAACAGAATACTCACAAAATCTATATACAAAGAATTATTAAAAATATCAAAAGTATTTAAAAATTCTTTTTGATGAGTATAGTCATCACTAGTTATACTAAATCAGTATATATTGAAAATTTGTTATACTGAACTTAGATTTCCAAAACTAATTTTTTATAATAAATTTCACTGGAAATAATAAACTTTATAATAAAATTCTATATATTATATACTAAACTTATATTAACAGTTGAAATATTTTTTCTGTACTGAATAGTTAAAATTAAAAATTATGCAAATAATCTTTTTTTATATTTTATCTTTTATTTTTATCTATTTGTTTTAGAATGTTTAAAAAAAAAACTATTCTTTCTGTAAAACAAAAATATAAACTTTGTAAAATAAAGGAAAAGGAACTAATTATTTCTAATATTTATTTTGCATAAAAATATAATATTGAAAAATCTATAGTTATTAACATTTTAAATAAAAAGAACTGTTAGCTTGTAATTTCAGGAGACCAAGGAAAAATTAAAAAATTTTGTGATATAAAATGATCTTAACTTAAAAATACATTAATTTTTGAGTTAATAATATACTTAATACAAAATAGAGATATTAATAGTAGTATCTTAAAAAATAAAGTAAGTTATTTTGCTAGATAATTTTTTATAAAAGATTTTTACCATTCAGATGATAATTAGATGAATTTAAAAAATAATATGAATTACGTTAATTTAAGAAATAAGATAAAGCTTTAAGTATACCTTTTACTGAATCATTAGAAAATGATCGCTTTACCTTACAATAATTTCTCAAACTTTATAATCCTGAAGATATTTAGAATAGTGATGAAACTAATCTCTTTTGAAAAATAAAACCTTCTAGAGTTTTAACGTATGATTTAATATCTAGTCATAACAAAGAAAAATTTTGAGTTACCATATTTTGTATAATAATACAACTAGAACTAAAAAAATGGTTTTTACCTTTATTTATAAACATAAAACCCTTTATATTATGAGAAATATTAATTACAAAAACCTTCTTGTTTATTATTTTTGAAATAAGAAATCTTGGATATAAGTTAGTATTTTCAATAAGATTTTTTTTAAACTTAATGAAAAAATGAAATAAAGAAATATAAAATTACTTTATTACTTAATAATACATTAGTATATCTTATTTTAGATGAAATTCAAAAAAAATTAGATAGCATTGTGATAAAATTTCTTTTACTATTGCTCTTCAACTATGTGATATAAAAATTATTCATTCATTTAAATGTTATTACAAATGACTTTTTATCTAAAATTGATTGATATATATAATAATGTATAAGAAGATATTGTGAAAGAGCTTGTCGATTATAGTATTCTTGATGCTTTACAAAATTCAGCTAAAGCATAGTCTATGGTATTATCTTAAACAATCTCAAATTGCTAAAAAAAAGTAGGAATTTTTTTATTAAATAATGAAATTAACAATATACTTGTTGATAAAGATTTAATTTTAAATAAGTATACTATCCTAAAAAAAGTATCTAGACACTAAAAAATTTATAATTATTTTTAAATTTAATATTGTTAATAATTTTTTTCTATCCTATCTAGAATATTATTCTTCAAATTTTTTATAAATACATTAAGAAAATTTTTTTATAAACAATAAAATATAATCTTTAACTTTGATTAATCTTAGAATATATAAATGCAAATATCTTATAAAATATTAATTATGAAGATATAAAATTAAAACTATTATATTCACCTTATTGAGATCTTTCTATCAAGGTATGCTTGATTAAAATTGAATAATTAAATGTCAAAATAATTTAAAAAATGTGAAAATTATTGCATTTTGAGGTATTTTTAATTGAAACCAGTTTATTTATTTAATAAATACATGATACGCAAAGTAGTTTCAAACAAAAATAAAATATATCCAATTAATACAACGAAATATGTACTATATAAAAATATAAATAATAATATTTTTATACCATATAAATTTAAGCTACAATTCACAAAAAACTGTGCTTGAATACTTTCTTCAGGGTAATATATGTATTAACTGTTAAATATTAATATTAAATACAAATGGTTTTTTAATAAATATTTTTTTTAGTTTTAATAAAGATGATGAAGAACTTGAAGAATTAATTGTATTACTTCCAGAAGGTACTCTTAATGCATAAAAATATATTCATATTGAAGATAAAATAGCAGAAGGTAGGCTAATTGATGATAAAATAGTTAACATTATATTAAATGCAAATAAGGAAAAAGAAGAGAAACCCATAGCAGATGAAATTGAATTTACATCTATATTGAAAAAAGTTAATCTGATAAAAGTAAAAAAAAAGCTATGGATAAAATTATAAGATTTTTATATGAACAGGAGGTGGAATTTAATGAAGTAAATAATGAATTAAAAGTTTTAAAAGGTTAGATAAACAAATTAAAGTTTTAGTTGTAAATAATCTTAAGCAAATCAAGATTCAAAATTATTTTAATAATAATATGCAATGTAGTTAAATAGTTTAAATGCTTTATTAATATAATATAGTTATAAATATTAATATAATAGTTCATGTTCATCAAAAAAATTTAAAGGATCACGTGTCTATAATTTTATTGGTTAATATTTATACCAAACTGTTCGGTATATATATACTGAACTAAAACTTCCAGAACGGAGGGTTCAGTATAACCAGTGGTAACTGTATATGGAGTGACTCATTTTGATTTGATGACATATTTGCAATGAAAGATAAAAAAAAGATAGATCGAGATCTTTTTATAATCAATAGCTAATTATATTTTTTTTTCAATTTGGTTTATTTAGCCAATAATATTCATTCCACGTGAAAT